TGCCATGAAGCTTTGGGAAGTTTTTTAATACACTCCATTTCTGGCATAGTACATTTATACTACAATAGATGGCGCAATCCTATGATAGAGTGTATATGAGCATGTCATTGTGAGATCAATGGATTTCAAATTGTGAAGACCATTTTCCCCCCTCCAAAAAATATCTCTATATATGCATTTGTGAACTGTTATTTACAATATTTGTAATAATTTTTGTTTAATCACTTTATTTCAACTATTAGGTCAGTCCATAAGTTTGTGCTTATTTTATGACCTTGTTTTGCTTTTTGCTGTTAAAAATGCCAGTCAAATGTGATACTTTTTACACTGAAGTGTTAAATTGGATCTCATTCATATAATACTGTTCAGAATTGGGAACATTTCAGTTGTTTATGAGAAATCAAATTGTTTAAGATTCTTAAAAATGTACAAGTTATGGAGTATTTATTAATTTTAAGTTGTAAATATATGTCAAATGCAGATAAGCTGTTCTGCATAGGTTTATGAAAAGATTTTTTGTCAAATATAATATAACCTAATGAAGAAAATAAACAAAACTGCTTTTGTAAAGTTTAGCTTTTCACAGGTAATTACAAATTACTGCTGTGCCCCTGAACTAAACTTTGCCTCAGGATCTGACCAATCTATGGATTACTAGCTAAAGAATTTGTATTACTAAAAAAGCAAATATTAATAATTATATTAAAGCGATAATAACAACAATAATGAAAAACTTTGTAAATAACTAAACAAAATGTTAATAATGATGCAATTAAAATTAAATGATTATTAAATATAATTATTAGAAGGTTCTAAAGGGTGTCCCACTTAAATCAATTGACTGAGATAATGAATAATTAGTAAAACAAATTTTATAGGGNCCACCATATTTGCCAGATATTGCTCCCAGTGATTATCATCTTTTTCGGAGTTTGCAGAATTTTTTAAAAGGAAAAACTTTTGAGGATGAGAACAATGTAAAAAAGGCTATTTCTGAATATTTTGATTCAAAACCGAAATCATTTTACAAAGACGGGATTAAAAAGCTACCATCAAGATGGGAAGAAATTGTACAAAATAATGGTGAATACATTATAGATTGAAATAAGATTTAATTAAAATTTTTTGTTGCTTTTTTTGTAGATAAAAATGCGCACGAACTTATGGACTGACCTGATATTTTTTGCTAATTATGTATTCGCTCGAACTTTGTTAAAACCTTAACTGTATCCCGAACAACAACTGAAGTTGTAGAAGGAGATTCGCCTATTTTACCAATCTAGGGATCCCCCTTTTCCAAATTTTAATATCAACTCAAAATAATTTAAAAAGACAAATTACAATAAAACAGTTTATTATCCAACTATCAGAAATTTCACAAGGAAGAGAGGAAGGAGCAATTAAATAATTAAATTATAAAGGATTTTAAAAAATATAAAAATGGGGAATATCGAACTTCTGACAATTGCTGCAAGTGTGTGGGCTAAATTTGGAGAATCCGTGCTTCTCGCATGGACAACTGTATGTGGCCAGCTCACGCGTCGCAAAACATTCTGATTTATTTGTGTACACACCAGATGGAAAAACAAAAAATATCATGTATCCATAAGCACTCCAATAAATAAATAGAATTGAAACGACACTTTGAAATGTTTTCCCGATGAAAATGAATAATAATAATAATAAGTTCCAATAAAAATGATAATATGTAAATTGAATTTTATCATAATGAATTTGCTTGAATTTCCTTTCTGAGATTGTAGCAATGCGCGATGGATAAGCTAGTATAAAATAAAGCATTTTCCCCCAAAATCTAATTAATTGTCTGGTAGCCAGTATGAATCTTCTCAACCTGCCACTATGCTCCTATCAACTTATATTCATTTGGTATATTGAAGTCACAACTGCCATACATACAACCTACCTTACATATATTCATGCTCCTACATTACCAGATTACTTGTTGGCAGTAGTCTAGAAACACTAAACTATTTAAAATTTAGTTAATGAATAAGATAATTCAACAGTATTTTCAACTATCCTGAGACTATTTGACTATTCTGGATATTTAATGATAATGTGGTTACTTCTTGAAAGAGAGAGAGAGAGAGAGACTGACTGCAAATAATAGGTTTTGAATTTTGTTTTTACATTCAGAAATCTGAAGTTGCATCCTTAACTAAACAAAATTCTCAAATAGTCATCATACAATATACTAATTTATTCAAAAACTTCTGAAATATATTGTTTACTATATACCAACAGCATTCAAAGCTGTGCTCCATCCTCAGGCTTTACTGTCCATAAAAATTACCAAATTTTTTTTACAATAAACTCGAGTACAGTTGCTCCCAAAATTGAACACGAAAAGAACATTTAGGCTCTAAACCAGGGGTCACCAAAGTGGTCGATATTGACCCCCAGGGGTCAATGCAACATCATTGGGGGGTCGATGCGGCTAAGGGGTCACAACCCCCTTTTTTTTTTTTGCTTATACAGAGACCACAACTTTTTTTTTTGCTCACACACATACACTTGTAATAAAACTTTACGGTGGGGGTCAATGTGAGGCTTTGGAAAGTGGTTGGGGGTCGACGGTTAAAAAAGTTTGGCAACCCCTGCTCTAAACTGTCTTTCAAATCCCACATTCTTAGCAGACAAATTCATTTCCCAGTTAGTAGTTTTTGTAGTAAAATCCCTGAAATAAACATAACTAAACAAAATAAGTGATAATAAATGAAACAGTTTCCTCTCACACTCCTACCACCTTAAAAGAAAATGTTAACATTTCCAAGTTTTTGATTTTGTTTAGGAAGTAAATCAAACAGCAGTCATGTGTGTACTTCAGGGCTTCTTAAACTTTTTTTATTCATGACCCCATTTATGATTGTGATTTTTTTTGCAACCCAAAAAATATAAAATAAAGATATATACAAATTTGCAAAAACAATAATGGTGTACTACCACAGGTCACTCTTGTGTTACAATGGAACAGAGACAACTAAATACACTGAAAAGCAATAACACTACACTAGTTCACACTACAATCAGTGTTGCTGAATCATTGTCTCACTGTACCAGAAGTGACACAAAGCGCAACTCACGAAACCTATGACACAAAGCATGCCATTTTCAATATTTTGCATTAAAATCTCACGACCCCAAAAGAGGTCGCAACCCATAGTTTAAGCAGCCCTGGTGTACCTCTATAGACCCTGAAGTAAAGTTTAGTTCAAAGGACAGAGCACTGGGTGTGCATGGTAAAACTAAACTTTATAATTCCAGCTTATCGTGGATGACCACTACAATAAAGATTTTCCATAATTTCTCTACCATCTTTTAATATATTTTAATTACACTTTGGTCAGTAAACTGGCTTTTATTTACCATTGCAGCTGTTTCAGAATATGACTTTTCTTCACATAAATATATTATTTCTCTCTTGGAAACTTATTTCTTGCTCTTTCCATCCCATTTTCAAGACTAATGTCCTAGCTGTTAATACAGCTAGGACATTAGTCTTGAAAATATCCTAGCTTTAAGTTATACTAAATACAACATTCTCTATTAGTTTGCAGGTGTCATTATATACATTGAATTATCTTTGGAAGATAAGACAGCAAGTATACTTGTTTTCCAAAGGTATTCTACAGAAGTTACATCTGTTTTCTATAGTGTGCAGACAGTTTTATGTAAAAAATAATAATAGGTCATTTTTAATTCATTTGTTATTGAGAGTTTCAAAAAGAACTTCCTGCATGTGTTTTGATAAACACCTAAAATAATTGTTTTTTACCACATTATTTATATGTATGTTTAAAACATAATTTTACTTGGAAATTCACACTGTGCAGGGATCACCCTGTCTTTTTATAGCAATCACCAATCCATTCACCAAACACATTTTTTATTTGCCAAAATAGAAAGTCATTCACCAGGTTACTTTTTTGCTTACTTTATTTTACCAATCAGAAATGAAAGGGCAACCAAAAATATAAAAGCAACTTTATTTTCGTTTACTAACAGTAAAATCACATTGGACTAAGACTAATTCAAGTTCCATGATACTTTTTTTCACCAACTTTTATTTTTTGTGGACTGCTTTGAGGCTTTTTGCCATTCCAATTGACAAATGAATAAAATGTTCACAAATTTTTAACAGGCAGCACGATCCCTGCTTTGTCAATAATTATGTTTGCTATAATGAAATTCTATTTTGTATTTATTCAATCCAACGAAGATGAATAAATACAGTATATTTAACAATTTTTTATATTTGCATCCTTAAAAATCGCTTGCAAATTTCTCATTGCTGAAACACTAATTTAACCTTAATTTGAAATTAAATTTTCTGTGACTATATTGTCTACCTGAACTTTGTTTATTAATAGACATTATTATACTGATAAAGTTTCTGATTAGCAAAGAGGAAATGTTGTCAAAATTCAAAACACAATATCTTTATTTTCACTTGTTAGATATTTTGTTTTGACTTTTGACGACTTCCTCTCTTTGCTAATCACAATTTCACCAGTATAATAAGACCTTTTAATAAACAAAGTCCAAATGGACAATATATACACAAAAATGTTAAAAGAATTAAATTAATTTTTTACACTTGTAATAAAAATTTGGAAATGTCTATTCTATAAAGAGAAACCAACCATCTTTATTGTAAATGGGAAAAATTAGTAGAAGTTATCTTCAGGAAGTTTGTGTATATACTTATAAACACACAAACTACTTAAAAGTAATCTCTACAGAAAAATATTGTTTTAACTAACTTTTATATAATATATCATAACAGATGGCGCCACCAAAATTTTAAATGTTGACGGGAAAGTTAATCAACCCGCTGCTGGATTTTTTTAACTCTATTTTCACAATTACGAAATAACTATCAGCTAATCTACGAAGTAAGTTTTTTGCGTATTAACTGCTTTTGTTTCCGATCAAACACAGTGTTTTATATAAACAAAAACGTTTTAAACAATACTCACAGACAATTCTGCATCAAAAACAAAGAAACTATCCATGATAGGGCTTTTAAGTGACATTCCAACAACACCAAAGTCCCCTTAATGGCATTTTCCATTCAGGTTAGGCCTATCTGTTCAACTGATCTAAAATCATGTTGTTTTCTTCTTTTTAAAATAAAACTTGAGTTCTTTTTTTAGTTCGAGTATAAATAAAAACAGATTTTCCTCCGATTATAGCAGCGATTGCCGTTTTCGTAACCTGGAAATGCCTTATCTGCCACTTCTCATGTGAAAGACAAACCAATCGACAATCCATGTAAATGAAGGTTACATTTTCTAATTTCCGTTTCGTATTCGCTTGCAACATTAAATTTAACAAAAAATTACGTAATTGAAACTTATTTTAAAATTAATAATTTGCTCTTTATTAAAATTATGAGTATTAATTTTAAATTTTTATTAATACAGTATATATATTATTTTTGTCTGTATTTTATTTATTGTGTAATGCCGCGTCTCCGCCTGTGTTTAAATTTTTACTTTCTAATTTGTAATAATAATCATTTTTTCTGAATATATTATTAAATTATGCTATTAATATATTATTAGGAGATCGAATTATTTATTTTAAAAATTATGAAATTAATTTTAATCATTTTGAAATACGTCGGTGAAAATCATTTTACCCAAAGATCTACCGGTATTTATTGTTAAAAGTTTTCTTTTTTCAAAATTGATTAATGCGATTAATTAATTTAAAAAGTTAATTAATATTACAAATTATAAAAAAGAAAAATTAAAAATTATTTTATATTTTTTACGTAATTTCTATAAATTTTTCTGTAAAAGATAAGTGTTAACGAGATTAAATTTTAAACTAGCAATCAACTTTATTAATGTTATTTAGATTTTAAGTAAAATGCCAGAAAATTTAATAATAAAAAGAAACACTTTAAATTTAAAAACAAAAATAAAGTCATTAATATTTAAAATAAATCGATAGGATGCGTCTGACATTCATTTCCGAATGGCCGCGTTTCTTTATGCAGCGCTCGAGAAGCGCTTTACAGCGAACACTGATACCCGTTTCTAAATGCAAATGCTGCAATGTAGCGAACCGTTTCTAAACGGTTGCTGCAAGTCGCTGCAGCGAAGATAAAGCAGCTTTTATGTCCGCTACACGTGTAAAGCAAAATGGACGCTTGTCACAAGCGTCCATGTTGCTTTACACGTGTAGCGCTGTCCGACGTCAAAACGCGATGATGTCACAAAATCGTCACGTTTTGACGTCATAGAAAGAGATTAGATAATTTGACATTGAAATCTGATTGATTGAGCCATGTTTTCTCTTGAATTGTATTGTGTGTATCTTTCGAATAGAAAGAATTCATTATAATTACTGTTTGAAATTTATAATGTGTATATATATATAATACAAATAAAAATCCTTGCAGCTAGTTATAAAATAATTTTATATGCACAATAACTGCACGTATATTGCCGAACCAGTTTAATTATTATGATATTAACTTATAATTTAATTATGTAGGCCTAAATGTTTTTTAAAAATATAGTATGGCCTAGAAATTGCATTGTAATATAACACTTTTACTTACACTAAGCGAGTTTTGCGTGTAAATAAAACGTTTAATGCTGTACTTTATATTTTCTTAAAATATAAATTTGGTCACACTTATCACAAGGTTAAGATTTGAAAATTTTTATTTAAATTTTTTTTTCCAAATGAAATTTTTTAATAAATTAGAGAGGAAAAAGTTGAAATATTTAAACGAAAATGAAAGAAAATATATAATAAGTATTTCAAAAGTAACTAAGTAAACTTCCAAATTTTCGTAATTATCAGCAATCAGATCGGGCATCTTTCATCATCGCTTAAGGCATTCTAATGAAATCGGATATCTTAATAAGTCCAAATCACCCCTTGAATTTCTAAAAAAAAATTAAATGAAAGAGTATGAAATAAGTTTACAAATATTTCCAGAAAATTTTTTCTTTTTTTTTTCTTTAATTTTAAAAACTTGTTTATATTTTACAAGAAACACTAGAATTTACTGTGTGCCAGGTTATGTCAATAATCAAAACCCCACTTTACTTTTTTTAAAAATATTGAAATTAACTAAATTAATTTATCAAATATTACTTTAAAATATTTTTATTAAAATATTATTATTAAAATTAAATTAAACAAATACATCAATTCGACAATCGTCTCAATATTAACAATAGGCATTGTCAGAGTCGACTCTGGCATTGTCCAACAATTCCAACAAAATCGATGCTCAACAAAGCTGTATTTTTTACAGAAATTTGAGTATTCGGTCAACGAAATCGGAAGAAATAAAGAATTTCACAAAGGAATTTACTAGAAAACACAGGAAAGATAAGTCTTTGAATAATTAATCATAAAATATAATTCACTTATCTAACTGTAAATATGATTTAAAATTATATAATTTCAAATATCAAAATCGAATCAGAAGAAAGAAATATAATTTAATTTGTGAAAATTGAAAAACTTATTTTAAAATAAATTTACTATATTAAAGGATGAACAATGATTAAAAAGAAATTGAATGGGTCTATGTTCAAGATAAAAATGACATTTAATAAATATAAGCATTTATAAAATAAATGCCTATATTTTATTTACTTAGTTTTACCCTTTTTGCCTTGTTGACACTAATAGGACTTTGATGTGCTGATTTTTTTTTAAAACTCTTTCCACCCTGTGGGCACTAAGAGAGCCTCTTTTAGGAAGCCCATTATGGGTTCGGTCAGAAGGGACTTAACCAGGGCTTAACGAAGTGAACCCAAAAGAAAAAGTCTACCTGAGCAGATATCTGCATACTCACAAATGAGATACAGAGGAGTCTTTTCAGCGGATCCGCAAAAGCGGCAAAAAATTAAATAAACCCCCCTGCCATTTAATTCACTTGAACATTTTTTACTTCAAGATTAAACATTAACATTTTGCTAAAGTTTTTTTTTTGAAATCAGAAACAAAAAAGAAAACTAATATAAATAGTGAAAACAATAGTGATCTGTATGCAATTAAGGTTCAATGATAGAGTTGCAAGGTACCTGTACTTGGGATAAAATCCGAGACAAGTGAGCTTTTTCCGAAAGATACTGGGACGCTTCTATTCTAGGACTTGCAACAGCTGTGTGTTTTTACTCTGCCAGTGACAGAAATAATTAAAAATGTATAAAAAGAAAAAGACACTTTATTGTAGGAATAAGTTTTAGAATAAAACCTCTCCTGTAGCTAGATGGGAGTAAAAAACCCGGGACATTTGGCAATCATAGTCAATGGAGGTCCATTATACATTTTGTTTTTATATTTGGACGTTAATTAACTCCTGGAAAGCTACGCATTCCGCTTCCCAGAGGGAGAATTTTGTAAGTATTAAAACTTTCGATGAATGAGAAACAAACGCAGAACAAGCGAGGAACAAGCGCTATTGTTTCTATTTTTGCATCTGGCACTTGACTGGTATTTTTGTATCTGGAAAAATTTGTTTTAGTCATCCTGGTGTATAATCCATGCTTTGTTTGTATTTATTATTGCAACGCAACACTTGGGCGATCTGGGCGCCTAGGGGAATGCCTTTCGGGAGGTCTTTTTAAGGGTAACTACTCGCTATTCACGAAACCGCTTGGCCATGGTAGGCCGTATAATTCATGCAATTGTAACTGTTGTGATTTGCAACAGTATGGGATGGAGGAGATGGTTAAGGCTTCGGCGTACTGCTTTGGGAGAACAAAGTATAATCCAGAAATCTGGAATATGGTCGGTGATGCAGTGGGTCGATCCGTCCAGATATGTCCAGTCGCACCACCGATCACAGCACCGATCGCACATATTGTCGGCCTGGCCGAACTCACGATGGATATAGAAAAAGGATTAGATTTATGGAGGAAGACACCGTAACACATGGGCGGTCTGCCAAAGGAAAAGTGCCTCCTGGGAGAACTTTTTATGGAAACTGGCTCCTATTTAAGTATTAAACATTTGTAGAAAATCCAGAAAAATTCAAGTTACTAACCTGTTTGCGAAGTCCAAACGCGTAACCAATATTTCTGTTACCAATTAGCAGTATTCAATCATTTAATCTACTCGGCCACTGATAGACGCATATATGAAAAAGCCGTCTTAATGCTTACAACAGTGGCGCGCCGTCCTTGGAAGCGGCGGAAGCGCCGCTTCCCTTGTATTTTCTATAAAATAAATGCATATTGTGCGATTATTTTCATATTTTAATGTATTTTGGATTAATTAAAATTAATATTTTATTATAACCGCATTATGTATTTTATTACAAATTTCTATACTACATGTGAGAAAAACGATGATTGCTATTGTATATTCGTATATGCATATTCTCAATGGAAGCTCTGTATTGTCGAATACGGGACAGCTTCCAGAGCGAAAATATTTGAACGGTGTAAAACAGCCAGATTATAGACATTTGCGCATGTACTTTACAGAGTACAACCTCAGGCGGTTTATTTGGTGGAAGTTACACACCAAAACGCTTCCAATGATTCTATCCAGGACTGGTTCTGGCCTGTTAGCCTCCTGCCTGCTAGATATTTGGCTGCCCCCGCTTGATTACGAATTGCGAGTAGATTTATAACAACCCAACCGATAGGAATTCACTGGTATGTTTTTATGATAGTTCTGTATAGTTGACAGGAGTTTTAAAAAATCCATTAAAATATTTGATATATTTATTCTTCTCTCCCATCTTGTATTACAGTACTTATAGATTTCAATGTTAAACTAGTGATATTACTATTTAGTATGTCCCATCTATAAGGGGATGCAGAAAAGAAACGTCATAAAATTTTGTCTTTTCACTTCTTTTTCAAGACTACAAATATTCAAGTACAAAGTCACCGGTTTCAACTTATTTCTACCTAAGTAGTAATTAAATAATTAAGAGATTAGGGAATCGGGGACATAAATAAAACCCTGCTGAAAGAGCCGGAATTTTACTTAAACAAAAGCTTAAACAAAACCGAACCATCTCTAGCCGAGTACAGTGGGGACTGATTTCTTCGTAATATTAATGTAATAAAGACAGAAATTTTTCCAGTTCAATGAGAGTGACTGAAAAGTAAATTTTGGAAATTTCCGTGGACACCTGGTTCTAAAACGAATTAGTTAGAAAACAAATGACGAACAATCTATTAACATTAGTAAATAATATAAAATAAATATTGAAAATTATAAAAAGATCGTTACGGCTAATAGATATACAGTATTATATCTAAATTAATAGATGTTATATGTTTTTTATCAAAGCAAGAATAGGCATTTAA